TTGCATTTTGTTGTTTTGATTTATCCATCCCTCTGTTTTTTTTAAAAAAAATAGTTGCATTTTTGACTAAGAAACAATCTTTTTTCATTCTTAGTTGGCAAAATGTGTTGCTTACAGCAGTACACATACGGCCTTAATAGAATTTTGTGAACACACAAGGCTAAAAGGTTTATCTGGAAAGACTTCCCAAACTGATGCTGAGATTATTCAAACTGATTTATGCACTAAAATGTTTTTGTGTGTGGGAAAGATAACAAAATAGGGTCATATTCTTACAATATGAAATAATATCAGTTTAATCTTCTAAATAATAAGCTTTTCAAAATGGAAGTTAGCAATTTAGGACCGCATCAGAAAGTCCAGGTGAAGCATTCCGCTTCGCCGGGCTTCTGTGACAAAAGAGAGAGCAGTGGGGCAAATCTGTCACCCTGCACATAGCCCCCTTTCCACAATGGTTACCCTATCACATGGGGAAAACATTGCCCTTGCAGGGAAGCTCCTTGCTGGCTCTATTGGTCCCAGCACAATACAAGTAGTTTCCTGTGCTGTTGTGGAAGCGCCCGACAAAGTTTTCACCCCGGTTGTGGACAGAGCCTCCGGTGGATATCACACAATGTTGTATAATGTCCAGCATCAGTCTCCATCCCCCTAGGACACTAAAATCAGCCCCCTCTGCTGAGGTAGTGACTGTGTGTGTTTCAGTAGTTAGCCTTGCCTAGGCCACAAAATAACTGGGCACTAGTACTAGAAATAGGTAGAATTCTTCAGGAAAGAAGTCATTTGTGTATGTGTTCTTTAAGGAGAAAAGGTTTTTCAGTTTCATGATCTCTGTACCTGAAAAATATAGAGTGGATTCAGCATCACTTCTTGTCTTTTCCATCTGTAGTAGATTTTTGAACCAGCAGAACAATCACACTTGTAGAATCCAGGAGACTTCATTCATCTTTGTGAGTGAGCCATACCATCCTACCTAAAACCCTGTACTTCTGCAGCTAGTCAAGAGATGACTGTACAACCAATCCTCAATTTACAAATGATTCCTAGTTAAGAATGAGCAGAGGACAACAGGAAGTGAAATAAATCTACTCATCGGAGGGGAAATTCACTCCTGAAAGAGTTATCATGGGGAAAAGGTATTTCCACTGAAGTTTTATCACTAAAACACTTTAGTGATAGGCTCCTTCTTTGGGGGCTTTTAAATAGAGCCTGGATGGTATTCTGTTGGGGGTACTTTGAATGTGATTTTCCTGCTTCTTGGAAGGGGGTTGGACTGGATAGCCCACGAGGTTGCTTCCAACTCTATGATTCTATGAATCCTAGTTTCCAAAACAAACCACATTTTTCAAACTCTAATGATCACAGGGACAGAAAGAGAGGTGAAATCTTCTGAACAGGGGCACAGAAAGTAAATAAACACTCCAGGGGTGTTAACCTTTCCCTATGCTATCCAAAGCTATTTTTTTTAATTTTTTGGCTGGAGTTAACACTTAAAAATGTATCTGTTCTGACTTATATGCAAATTCAGTTTAAGAACAAACCTACAGAACCTTTCCTGTTCATAACTGGAGGACTGCTGCAATTGGTTATGCTGTCCAATGGTCTGACTTAGCAAAAGGCCATTTTCTATGTTCTTCCTCATTTGGTGCCTGATGCCTCTTCCCAAACTTGCATTTGAATCTCTGAAAGAGTGAAAGAGGTGGTGCTGAAGGGTGCAGAGAGAATGGAATCAATGAAACCTGGTTTTCCCTCTTTCCACCAACATGTTCTGAGCAGACCACTACTGATAGAGATCATTTCCCATGGTTTCATATCTATTAACGCAATGTCATTACCCCATGGTCATTACTCCCAAAGCAGTTGCTCTCTTCCGAACTCAAGAACGGAAAACGGAATATTGGAGGACAGGAAAACAGAGTTAAAGATGGGCTCAAAGCCAATCTTAAAAACTCTGGCATAGACACTGAGAACTGGGAAGCCCTGGTCCTTGAGTGCTCCAGTTGGAGGTCAGCTGTGACCAGCAGTGCAGCAGAATTTGAAGAAGTATGGATGGAGGGCCAAGAGGAAGGCGCATCAAGCCAACCCCGACCGGGACCACCTTCCACCTAGAAACCGGTGCCCTCACCTACGGACCCACTCCCAGGATACAACACTTGGAGGACCATCATCCTCGGACTATGAGAGATCGCCTAAGTAAGTAAGTCATGGTCATTTTCAAAGCATCTGTATGACGTCAACCTCATGAAGTTTGATCTTGCCAAATTTGAATTTCAATGAATGGATAGCTGAAAATCTTTTTAGGCCCTCTTCATTCAGTTAAAGTCACATATCGAAAAACAATCTGTAAGAATTCAACACACATGTTGAATTCATTCAGGAATGAATTATTGATTGCAACTCCTGTTGTGTAGCTGGTTGGCATGCTTATGTGTGGCTGAACTTCAGATATGACATGAGCACAAACGTTACCAAACTTCATTCATTTAAGGGTCTTTGGTGTCCGTCGTTAGTTTTGACTATGATGTATTAGGCTGGATATACACTGCCATTTAATATGGCAGTGTAGATGGGGCCTTAAATTTAGGTAGCACAGCTTTCAAGATGTTATTCCAAGGGCATGTTTGTATAATGTAGAACATATTAACCCACACTTCTGAAATTAACTGTATTACTAGGCTTTCATTTGGAAGTCTAATGCAGCAGAGGTGATTCCACATCAGGTCTCTAAATTCTCCTTCACTCACATAATATTTTAGAGTGATGTCCAGGCAAAGTTTTCTTCCATTTGTAATTCTTATTCATTTTTCACCATTTTTCTTGTCAAAGAGAATCTGTTAAAGAAAGAGTGATGGGACAGTTTCACAATATTTTTGAGTTGTAGTACCAGGACTCCGCTGTCTGGAAGTGTTAAAAATGTGAGCTAATAAGAGAAGAGTGACAGCAATAATATATTGCTACTTTCAAGTGTTCTTTGTTAAAATGTACTTTTAAAGGTAATGTATTTCAGTGCATACTAGATCAAAGTGTGCTACCAAAAATTTATAAACCAGAATCAGTTCTCTATTTAAACATTGAAGTATACTAGTTTTCTGTCTTCTTCCAGGATCAACCAAGGGTTTTACTTATGTCTTAATCAGACTGCAATACTTAATTTTTTTGACAAGCTCTCAGACTTCCCCAGTCAGAAGACTTCTTTCTGTAGTCTCTATTACTACTGAATTGGGACTAGGCTTTCCAAACCACTGGAAAGAGCAAGATTCTCCTCCTCCTCTCCCTTCTGATAACTGAATGACAACTACTCTTGCACTTTAAATTTAATTTTCTTCAAGTAAAGTAAGCTGAGAACACAGTGAGAGGAAAAGAGAGAAACTTCAAAAGCAGTTGAAAAATGGGGTGACAGGATTAAACAGGATTTTCTCTGCCAAATTGGGACACTTGGACAATATGTCTCTGTGGACTTGGAATGCTTTTGCTTCCAAAAGGCCATTGCATTCCAGATACCTGCTTTCAGATTACAAGGCTGAAAAATACGAGCTATGTGATGAATGTGTAAGGCAGTCAGGGTACCATATGATATTTCAATACACAATACACGCAGCAGATTGGAAAAATGAATTGAATTTTAATATTGGGCTAAAAGTAAGATGGAGGTAGTCTTTTGCTACTATTTTACTTGATCTGTTGCAAAACAGAGTGACTCTTTTCTCTTGCAAATTAGTTGAATTGCTTTCCGAAGACAGGATTTAGATCCAGTTAATAATAATATTTATTTATTTGACCAGTGATATGACCATTTCAAAATAGAACATGAATAAAAAACAAGGCAAAAGGGTGAGGTCAGCAGCTGACCTATTTATAGTCAGTTGAGATTTCTCCATTTTGCTATTGGTGGCTATAAGGCAATTAACCAGACCCACCATTCATATCTTCTGTGCCAGGCTGGGCATAAAAGGTTTGTATCTGGGAGGCTCCATTCACACTATAATATGAGCAGACCCTCCTCAGCTAGTTATTTTCTCTGTAGGAAAAGTTATTTGGAAATGACACCTTGCGTGTTGTTCGATTTTTTGGAAAACTTTTCCTTGAGTGTCCAAGTGAGGCCTGACACTGTAAATCGGTGTCTGGAATATGTAGGAAACTAAACGAGGCTTTGTAACTCAATTCCTGCTGTTACCACAAGCAGTTTGAATGGTCTAGGTAGGATTTTTTTGGAAATCTCTTGGTTTTGATGGTGAAATAGTGAAATAATTCTTGAGTCCTACAATTTTAGGAAAAGGGATGTGCTACAGCAGCATCCCCCAGGCTGGTGTCTTCCAGATAAATTGTTTTACATTTCCTATCATCCCCATCTGCCATGGCTGTGAGAGGCATTACAGTCCACGCTGTACTATTGAGTGGTAGCACAATAATCTCTCCCAAATTGTACCATTGAGACTATAAATTAGTCTTCTTCGGGCTGATGTCCTCTAGACCAGGACATCTGATAATAAATCAGCATTTGCATGGCTTGTTAAATAAGACGATTTCCCTTTTTGTGAAGTTCAACTGAAGCATTTTGTGCAGAGTCCAGTGTAATACTGTGCATTGTTGCAAAAAGAATCATGTAAATGTCTAAAACAGCTGAAAGGTAACATTCAGAAAGGTTTTTCTCTATTGTGATTTTTTTGTGATCCTAACATTGAGCAAAAGGGACCCCAGTTGTGGTTGGAACCCACAGTTTAAGAAGCAGTGCTCTAGACATATTGGATCACCACAATCAGCATCTCCATCAGGTCAGAAATTATGGGAGCTGTGGTCTGAGATGTTTGGATAGCAGCGGGTTGTAGAAGACAGGTGTGGATTGCAGATTGCTTGAATGCCACTTCACATGGGGGTGAGGCAGAATCCATCATGGACCAATAGTAAGCATCTGATTAAGGACAGTGTGTTGTCAGAAGGAACTCTCAGTACTTCTCTTTGTCTTGGTGTGTATGCAAGATGATACTTAAATAGAAAACTCTGGAAAAAGGAAAATATATATTTTTATTCAAAAGAACTCTAGCATTGAAGGAATCTATGAACTGATAATAACAAAATACTGCATTGAATGGATACAGTGACTCTTTCTGTTTGCAGACTGTGGTTAAGATTATCAGACAATGTATTATCCTTCAACTCTCCAGATTGCAATGGATCCAGCAATATCATCTTTAACAGCACCATGTGTTACAGTTTGGGAATACATCCCTGCTACCCAAGAGTCACATGATATGATGTGTAATTTAGGAATCAGGCCACAATGACAATTGTTTTATCTTCTGAGATCAAAAGGGGGATGACCACATAGTCATATGGCTGCAAGGAAATCTACTCTATACTGTATTTTTGCAAATAATGATTTGTCAGAATCCTGAGATTCCCAGATTTCACATAAAAACCAATTAAGCTTCTAGCCCTCATTGTTGTAAAGAGAAGACAACCAACATTAAAGGCTCAAAAACATGTATTTAAAAAGTTAAAATACATGCACAAAGAACAATGTCTTTGTATTCAAATTAACTTCTAAGAAAGTTGAATTATAGAACTTGAATTTGAATTATATATGCCCATAAAGCAAACAAAAGCCCCACATTGATTTTGACTTCACAATTGCTCTTTCTCACTTCCAAAATTGCAGTGGAGTGACACATGATGAAAAAAGTGTCATTTGTGAATATGACCATAGCAATATTCAGAGGTTTTGAATTATGCTTTTATCAAGCATTCAGAAATAAGAGCACTCCGTACAACACATCAGCTATAGATTCATTAGTACTGAACCTATTCATGAAAATGATCTGCAGACCATGCACCTGGTCTAGCCCTTCTCTATGCAGGTGGAAGGAAGGGTAGATGTGCATTTGCACCTTTGCCTTGCAGGAAGGCAAAGATTCAAATTTGATAATACATTACAATAGGTCAGCTATTTGATCACACATTACCATAGGTCAGAGCTGGAGAATGCCCCAAGAGCATTCTGAATGCAAAGAAACAGCAATGTTGGGAAAGTTATATTTTTTGGACTATAGCTCCCAAACTCCAATGGCCAGGTTGGCTTGTAGCTTCTAAAATCTGTAGTCCAAAAAGGGTCATTTTCCCCCTAAGCTCTAAAAAAGAGTGCAGTAGAACAGTGACTATAGACAACTTGGGCCAAGCCAACCAGGCAGCATGCAGGTACTGGGCCCATGAAGCTATTTCACAGCTGATCTACCCATCTTTTTCTGTATCCATCCTAGCCTCTACAGGGTGGTATGGATGGAAATCGACTATGCACAATGACTAGCACAGATGACTAGATGCTCTACTGAAATATACTGGAAGAAGGTTTCCCACTGTAACACAATGTCCTGCTCCACAGATTCAGTCCTAGCACAGAGTTGGAGCATATGTGTACAATTCTTCCAGCCTGTTTATTAGTACTAGCTTCAGTATGAACTGGCACAACAGAGTCCTTGAAGCATGCAGAGGCCTAGTGTTGGATTGTGACCTGTGTTATGTACATGCAGGCTCATAATTCCTGATGTGGCTATCACTGATGAAAATTGCAAACATCTGAATCAAGATCCTCTGCAAAAACTTTTAAGCAAACTAATTAACTAAATACTTTTGGAGGAATATTAAAAATAACCTATGTATTGAAATTAAAGATTAAAATACAGCCTTTCTGGGTCTCCATACATATTCTTCAGTAGAAATATATTTTATAATTCTACAAACAACATCTTATATTAAAGCTTTCAGTCTGCAAATCATTATGATTTAACATGGCAAAACAAATGTTTTGGTCTTGTCTCGAAACCTCCCTTCATAGTGAAGGAGAGTAAAAGGGGCAGAATATGGGCTTACAATGAAAATCAGCAAAATAAAGTGATTGCAAATTATACAAATACCACATTTATTTAGAAAAATAAACTGAAAATGCCCGTTTAGCTGGTACATTTCCCATGAAGGACAGATAACTGGCTATAAAAATGTTATGTGTCAAATATGTAGTACAAATGCTTTCCCCTTCTTTGTACAACTGGTAGGACATTTCCAATATTCATTAGGACAATGTGAGCTATTCAACTCAATTTCTTTACTCTTACAATGATACAAAAATGTATTACAAATTAGATCCACTCTAAAATTTGGACTGGCCCGTGGGAGCTTTTTTTTTTTTTTTAAAAAAAAGCATCAGTCTTGAGGAGCAACAATTTGCTTTTTGAGTAAGATTCCAACTGTGAAAGAATAGAAAGGGCCTTATATATTTTTTACTTTTGTAGATGGATTCTATTCAATTTCATATAGAAGCCCGTCAAGATACATTTTCTTGTGGACTAATATTTCATGCAGCCATCTGTGCAAATGATGGCCTACATCATTCCCCTGAATGGAAGCAACAGTGCAAATATTAGAAGTGCATTAAGATGCAATCTATGACAACTGAATTATTTTGGCAGAAGACAGGAAACAACCTCTTTCCAAGCATTTTTAGAATCATAGATCCTCTCTTCTTCTATGGCTTTGAATTTACAAAACAGACAACAGTGATCTTCTCTCTTCATCCAAAATGATAACCTTTTCGAAGGGGAGTAAATACGTTGATTTTCCTGCAGTGATTTAAGTGCTTCAAACTTTTATTTAGCTCCATGTATCTATTCTGGACACTAGCTGGATTTCCACTGGCTGTTTCCAATTTCTTTTTTAGTAGTGAGCTCCTCTAATGGCAAGCTTTGGAGATGGCTGTTACTGTGATGGGGCAATAAAATAATTTTCCTTCTTCTTCTTCTGTCAGCATGAAGGGTACTTAAGGCTGTGGCTTTTGTCAGGCCTTGGCTCATAGCTGTTGGATATCAGGTCAGTCATTTAATGCAGATTTCACCAGCCATCGGTTGTGCTCTGGCTCAAGGGCTTCCAAGCTCCAAGGAAAGCTCCTGTTATAAATGATATATGGCCTGAAAGAAGTTGCAGTGTCAAATCTTTCATGGGGAAACTAGTTAACATGCCTCCAAATTCTGACATTCCTTCCAGCCTGGAGGAGCTGCAGGAGAGAAAGAAAAAAGAGAGGGAGAAGTTACTGAACACATATATGAATATATTTCCATTGTTTTCAAAGCATTAAACAAATTGATCTCTTGCATCTCGAAAAGTAGGAAGGGAGCGGGAGGACAGAAAAGAAATGTGGAGGCACCTTTAAGACTAATTGATTTTTTTATTCAGGGAGTGAGATAGAAAGTAATAGGATCCAGTAAGATGCAAATCATGTTCCTTACCTAAACTTTTTCAAAGCATGAAATTACAAACCACATCATATCATGCTTGCTTGCATCTTTCTGATCCTATTACATTCTATCCCACTTCTACAATGTATGAATCAATATGCTTTCTCCTTTAGATCTTAATGTCACTTAAAACTTCATCTGAAAATGTTCATGCTATAATAATAATAAAAAACCAGTCTTACGCTACATTTTCTGTTCTTTTCCTCTCATCACATCTTTTTTTATTTATACATATACTTAAGCACCTTTACAGAAGATGTTTTCCTCTTGGGAGGAGAGAAATGACCAATCTCAATAAAATAGCGAAGAGCAGAGACATCACACTAGCAATGAAGATCCACATCGTAGCCTATGGATGTGAGAGCTGGACCATAAGGAAGGTAGAGCGAAGGAAGAAAGATGCCTTTGAACTGCGGTGTTGGAGGAAAATTCTGAGAGTGCCTTGAACCGTGAGAAGATCCAACCAATCCATAATTCAGGAAATAAAGCCCAATTGCTCATTAGAGGGAAGGATATTACAGGCAAAGATGGAGTACTTTGGCCACATCATGAGAAGACAGGAAAGCTTAGAGAAGACAATGATGCTGGGGGAAAAGGAAGGAAAAAGGAAGAGGGGCCGACCAAGAGTAAGATGGATGGATGGTATCCTTGAAGTGACTGGCTTGACTCTGAAGGAGCTGGGGGTGGTGGCGGCCGACAGGGAGCTCTGGTGTGGGGTGGTCCATGAGGTCACAAAGAGTTGGAAGCGACTGAACGAAAAAACAACAAACTTAAGCACATTCAATTATATCACAAAATTATGGAACAACAGTTTTAGAAGAGATTCCAAAGGTGATTTGGCCCAATCCTTTGGCAGGGTAAAAATATAAGAGCTAGAGCATTCCTGACAGATGGGTATCTAACTTCTGTTTAAAAACTTCCAATAAGGAGTCCATCATCTAAAGAATTAGTAGTCAGTTTCACTGCTTAAATGTTAAAGTTTTTTTTCCTTTTTTAAAAATGTTACTAATCTAATTTTAATTGTGTAATCACGATTTATTCATTTCTCTGCTAAAACAAAGGTGGTAGCTTAGTTCTCAGAAGTTCCTACTGAGTTTAGATGCAGAGAAAGCATTTGATAATGTCTGCTGGGAATTTATGGGAAAGATACTAAAGCACTATGGAATTGGTCAGCAATTTAAGAGAGCTGTAAGTGCCATTTCTTCAAAACAAAGAGCTAAATTAAGAAAAAAATGGTCAATTATCAAACTATATAGAGATACAAAAAGGGACAAGACAAAGTTGCCCCTTGTAGGCTTTATTGTTTATTAGGGTGCTAGAAATATTGAACATTAGAATTAGAAAGGAGTAAAAATAAAATCAAAGGAGTAAAAATAAAAGGATATGAATTTAAAATAAAAGCATACACTGACAAAATGATATGCATTTTAGGGGATCCAATAAGGAGAATCAAGAAGTTAATGGATACCACCAATAAGTATGACAACATGTCAGAATTTAAAATCAATAAAGAGAAACCAGTATTTTAACTAAAAATCTATCCATGGGTAATATAAATAAATTGGAGAAATTATCAGTGTGAAAGGCAGTAACAAAAGTAAAATACTTAGGACTATGCTTAACTGTTAAGAATACTAATTTATATCAAAATATTTATGGAAAAAATTAAAAGGAAGTTTAAAAAGACTTAGAAAGATGGCATAAAGTTCAATTAACCTTGATATGGAGGATATCAGGGATAAAAATGTTTGTATTACTTAAAAATGATGTTCTTATTCCAAAATTTACCAATTATTAAAGGGTAAAGGTCTTTGAACAGTGGAGGAAATATGTGGTTCAATTCATATGAGCCAGCAAAAAATCCAGAATTATGTAATTTAATAGATGCAAAAGATAGAGGAGGTTTAGCCCTCCTGGATTTTAGATACTACTGTGAAGCAGCAGGATCTGGTTAAAGGAATGAATTAGACTCGAGGATCACACTTTACTTAACCTGGAGGGTTATAACTTAAAATATGGATGGCATGCTTACTTAGGGTATGGAAAAGAAAAGGTGAACAAAGAATTTACCAGACATCCAATAAGATCTCGCCTCCTAAGATTCTGGAAGAGATATAAGAAAGGAGTGGAACTAAAAACCTCTCTAGAGCTGCATCTATTGGAAGCTGTACTTAAACCACCATCCAATGAGGAAATAAGAATTTACATGGAACATCTAACTAAAGAAAAAGACCAATAGAAATTAAAACTGAGAGATGAAATAGGGATAAGTGACCGGTTCTGTTACCATCAATTGCATGATCAATTTAGGAAAGATGTTAAAGTAGGGTTTGCTAACAGAAAATCAATGTTGGAAGGTATTCTTGAGAAGGATAATAAGGGCTTAGTTTCTAGATTATATAGATATTATATAGATATTAGGATACAATCTGGAGGACAACCGAATAAAAATCACCATGATCTCCAAGACTAAAGACCTAGGGAAAAGTATTGATCTGGAGAATTGGGAAAATCTCTAGAAAAGTGGATTTAAATTATCAATGACTGACCATCAGAGAAAATGTGTATAAGATGTCTTATAGATGTTATATAACACCAGAGACAATAGCCAAAATGGATAAAACTCAGCTAGGAGAATGCTGGCAGTGTAAGATGCAGAAAGGCACTTTTTTCCACATTTGGTGGACCTGCAGGATGGTACAAGATTTTTGGAAAAATATTATTAAGGAAACAAACAAAATGATTGCTTAAAAAGTTAAGAAAAATCCAGAAATGTGCTTTTTAGGAATATTTAGAGAAAGAATTAGCAAAGGAGATGAGGAAATTTGTCAGTATAGTTTTGTTTTTGCAGCTAGACTGACAATAGCAAAATCACTGAAGGGTGAAAAAGAACTATATAAAAAGGATTGGAAAGAAAAATTACTACAAGATATTCAAATAGCCAGGTTATCTAATGGTATCTGGGGAGGATATAACGAAGAGTTGGTTTAAAAAGAGGAGGCTAGCATTTGAATACATGGAAAGGAAGACAAATGTAGACTTTAAAATAGCCACAAGGGGAATCTACTACAGTAGATATAAGGGTAGATTATTTTCAAATATGGAATTCACAATGAGTAGTGTTGGAAGTCATGGCTGGTGAGTTCACGGGTGGGAGGCAAGTGGGGAAAGATTTGATAGAATATTGCAATTTATCTGTTTGGGAGAATGACATTCCTGTATTAGATGTACTTGACTATCTACAGATGTTTCTCCTTCTTATATTTTGTATTCCATTAACTTCACTCATTAAAATTATTAAATTACAAAAACACAAGAAGTTCCTATTGAGTTATGAAGAAAATGGACAACAGAGGCAAGCTATGCCTCTGCCTCATAGTTGTCCTTGCCTGCCTATACATTATAATGTAAGCTGAATAGCACTGACTCTTTTCTATGGATGAAAAACAAAATGGAAAATGCATTTACAGGGAGATATTTAGCACAGAGGCCTGCCTTTATTTGTAAATTAATAGTTTAACTGCAATCAATGCACTAATCAGTTTGTTTTATGCAAAACTTAAATGAGAATTTTAGTTTCCTTTCCTTCAAAAAAGGCTTGTTTGCTTTAAAAACAAGATGCCAAAAAGCAATTGATAAAAACTGATTAAATGACAGAATAATAATGAGCAATAAAAACAGTAAAACTTTTTAAATGCATATTAAAAGCAATACAAGTCCAAAACTATCAGCATATATGACACATAAAATAAAATAAAACATAAATAAGCATTTAAACTAAAATAAAACATAAATAAGCATTTAAACTGAATGCCATCTACACAGTGATAATATCTCATCCCAAATCTATGATCTGCTCGACAGCTTTGTATAGGTAGGTAAGCATATTTTCCAACATTTCACAGAAATAGCGCTCCATGCAGTCATGCCGGTCACATGACCTTGGAGGTGTCTACGGACAATGCCAGCTCTTTGGCTTAGAAATGGAGATGAACATCACATCCCAGAGTTAGACACGACTGGACTTCATGTCAGGGGAAAACCTTTACCTTTACCTACAGAGAAGTATGCCTGCCTATGCAGAAAAATAAGGCTTTTGTAAAAGACATTTTGAGTCAAGATTGGTTGAATCTGCGAATGCAGAACCTGTGGATATGGAGGGCTGACTTTCAATTTACATTGCTCCATAATTCTTTGTAAAGAAAAAGACTCACTTTGGTATTTCATAATGCATTTGGAAAAAGGAGATAGCCATGTTAGTCTGATTCAACATGAAAAAATAAAGGGGAAAGCATGTAGAAGCAATTTCGAAATGAATTGAACTAGAATGAACTTTCATAGGTTTAATTCCACTTCTTCTGATGATTTTTGAATGTTCCAGCTTCAATAAATCATCCTCAGCTGTGTTGCTAGATTATTCCCACTCCCTTTTCCTTTTATGCTCATTTTTTAAAAGTGAGCACAAAACTCCTAACTCAATTAGAAATCTTGCTACATTGTTAAATATAAATACTTCAAATATGACTCCTATTAAATAATCCATCATTGCAGTCCACTATTTTCCTCAACCTGTTTCTGTGATAATGCTCTGCTGCACATGTCACAAGAAAGACTGTGATTTGCTGAGACAGTAGAGTCTGAATTTACACCTAAATGTTCAGAAACTATGTGATCACCAGTACTAAATTGTCACTATTTGACAATTCAGATCAATTGGAAGGCTGAAACGAAGTCTTTCCAAGGGCATGTAAACTCTGGG